AGGCTTCATTAGTTGTCTCTGAACAAATCCTATACAGCAGTCCAGATCCGTTGTCTGTGTTTTTCTGAAAAGTTTGTGTAGAATGCCTTAGTTTAAGAACTCATCAGATTAATTTTCCCATTTTAAATTTCACAAAACCTTAATTCCTAATATAGTATTTTTGGGCGGTTGTTGGGGGGGAAAGAGTCAGGTATCTGGCTACAAAGGCATTGTAGGTACACAGCAACTCTGAAGATCAGGCTATGTACTTAGGGCACCTAAGATTAGGCCTTAACTTAGAAAATTTTGCCCTTGGTGTTTCAAATGAACTATTGAGCATGCATGCTACTACATTTTTTTTTTAAACCATACTCATCAGCATTTTTAACAGTGTGCTTGGAAGCCCATACTGACCAATGTGATGGACTGTAAAAGATCTGGCAGAGATCAATAAACCATTGAGCAATGAAGAATTTAAATAGTAAATGATAATAGCACCTTTGGTCCACGGTATGCCAGACTGTGGTCTCAGTTACCACAGTATGGTATCATCAGGCAGATATTCTCTTTTTAATATAGACCACTGTAGTAGATTTAGCACAATAGACTTGGAGGCACACAAGCACATACTTAGATTATCCTAAATATGCTAGTGAGGGGCGAACCTTGAAAGGCTGGCAAGTTTGATTCAAATAAAAGTGCTTGTTAAATTCTCATAGGATGCAAAATAATCTGTACTTTTTTTTGTATAGAAATTATGTTGAAAGTCTGATAAGTCATAGACCTAACTGGTGCTATGGAACCTAGAAAGGCAGCGCGCAGACGCACATTCCATGCATCATTCCATGCACCAAAGTTCCCCTTTGTTGCTGTTCTGACTTACTGGGCCAGACCTGCTCTTTCCATTACAAATGTATTAAAATGCTTAAGATATGTAGGATGAGTTTTAAACATGGTTAAGGCAAAACAAACAAACATCACAAACATTTTGTGAGGGTGTGTTCCCCCCTGGCTCCACTGAGATGGTAGTGCTTGCTTACCCGTTTTCCAAGCCTTCACCCTTCTGTGTACGCTGGGTGGAACAGAGTCTATAAAGACCCTCTCCTGTGGGTCCACTCCTGGGTTCTTGTTTTGTGGGGAAACTTTTTTTCCTCTCTGAATTTTTAAACTTCAGCTGTCAAGAATTTATAAGGCCTGTGAGCACATTGTCAGCAGAGCTTGTAATTGCTGAGAGCACCACAGTCTACTAGATGTAGCTGTGCCTGTGGAATTCATTAATTTCTGAGGCCTGAAATTTGGGGCTCATTCATGTGATCATAAGCTCAGAAATTTTGCTGAAATAGCTTTTGAACTACTGCTCTCTACCTTCCCTCCAGGTTATTCACCAAGTGATATGACATAATCTGCAGGGGCAGAGATACATCTATTGCGTCTTTTTTTCCCTCCTCAGTATCAGCTTGTATATTGCTTGTTGACAAAATTGTGATCCCTTTCAATCAAGGGCCTGGATGTGAAGGCTGTAAGCACCCGTCTTTAAAGTACCCAAATATCCCTTCTATCCACCGTGGGCTGACTGGACGTGTGGAAGAGTACACTGTTGTAATTCATATACTCTAAGGCAGTGGTTTTCAAACTTTTTTTTCTGGGAACCCTGTTGAAGCAAATTGTTGATGCCCGTTACCCAGTAGAGCTGGGGATGGGGGGGTTGGGGTATGGAAGGGGCTCAGAAATGGGGCAGAAGGTTGGGGGGTGAGGGGTCGGACCGGGAATGAGGGGTTCAGGGTGTGGGAGGGGGCTCTGGGCTGGGGGTTAGGAGGCAGTAGGGGCTCTAGGCAGGTGGTGTAGGCTCTGGGGTGGGGTCGGAGATGAGGGGTTTGGGGTGCAGGAGGGGTTCTGGGTTTGGGGCAGGGGCTCAGGACTGGGACAGGGGATTGGGCGTGGAGTAGGGGTGCACACTTACCTCCGTTGGCTCCCGGTCAGCGGCGCAGCCAGGGTGCAGAGGCAGGCTTCCTGCCTGTCCTGGCACCATGGACCGCGCTGCGCCCCGGAAGCGGCCAGCAACGGCAACCTAGGCGGAGATGTGCAAGCGGTTTCACGCAACTTTCACCCGCAGGCACCGTCCCCGTCCCCAACTCCCATTGGCCGGTGCTCGGGGCGGGGGCAGTGTGCGGAGCCCCGTGGCCCCCCTGTCTAGAAGCCGGACCTGCCTTAGCTGGGCAGCACCGCCGACGGGACTTTTAACGTCCTGGTCAGCAGTGCTGACCAGAGCAAGGCAACTCAGTGCCTTCCATGCCGCGACCGAGTACTGCGACCCATACCGCGACCCATGGTTTGAAAAACACTGCTCTAAGGGACAGACTAAAGTGACAGCTAGCTACTCCAGATTGTGGGTACAGGGTGCACATGTATATAGGGAAGATGTTGGAAGTTTAATTGCAAATGTCTTGAGTGTCTGCTCTTCAGGATTTTTAAACCTATAAAGAATTATTTTCTGTTCTTGCACTGTGGCATTTTCATAGGTCTAACGAAAAGCAGAATTTGCTCCTAATAGTCTATTAATGTTGTTCTAAAGAGCAATATCTTCTCATCTTAAACAGTTTGGTTAAGAGAAAGTTAATCTGCGAGTAAAAATTCATTTAGATAAGGACTAGTGATCATTTTTTGGTTTAAAAAAAGTTTAAAGTATTTTTTCCTAGTGCATATATGAAATGTGCTCTTCCTATTTTAGGCCTCAATATTGCAAATACTCTGCACATGTGTAACTGTTAAGCACATGCTTAAGTGTTTGTGGAATGAGGACATTAATATATAAGTTGTCCATCTCCTGTTTTAAAAACCTTGTATTTCTGTTCATTTGTTTTTATGTTCGACTTAAAAATAAACGTGTATGTTTTCATTGGCTTTGAGCCTAAGTTTTTACCGGTAAATATATTAATTTAAGGTGACAGACCCTATCTGTCATGATTATCCTTACAATATTCCTCTATAATACACAGAAAGAACAGGAAGACAACCCCTAGCCCATAGAACTTAAACAAAATAGTAGTTACTTGGAGAAAGCTGTAATTCTTGCTAATTTTCCCTCTACAAATCAAACACCAAATTCACTTCTTGTGGTTGTCTTTTTTGGGTCTGTAGGAGTCAGCAGTTTAATTTCTTCGGTTCTGAACAGGTCTACAATATCAGAAAAGTAGTCTTCTTGTTTTTCGGTGATTCCACTTCTATCTGAAAGCAGGAATTGGAGGAAAGACTGAAAAAAATTAATCAAACTTTTTCTCACACACAAGATTTTTACAGAGTTTTTGACAGTAGTTCTGATCAGACCTTAATTTTTCTGAACAATTTCATCAGTTAAATTTAGTCTATTAATTACCTAGAAATTCTACATGAATTTATACTAATACTTTGATAATCCATCCCTCCCCTTCTAAATCTTGAAGGTGAAGTAAAGAAAAAGAAGGAAAATATGTAGCAAAATAAAGCAGAGATTTTGAAAGTCTATTGCTTGCGACTGCTATAGGAATAAAATTCCACACAAGATAAAGTATTTCATAGAAGACATTTATTTTGGGATTGATTTTTTTAAGTGGTCTCCATTCCATTTTTAGAGAGTATGCATTTTTTAAAACAGAATATATTTTAGCAGTAGCTGTGTTGAAAAACAAAGTTGCAAAAGATCATGTGACAAGGCTACTTTTAATTAGCTTTTCATTTCCACATTATCTTTAGCAAACCAGCCTAATTTCTAAATCAAGTTGCTTCCAAGTCATCATTATGCAATTGAATAAAGAATCTTAACCTGGAAATTTACTTCATTAAGGGAAAAGAAATGCCTAAATCTGTCAACATGCACTTGCAATCAGTGTCCTCTTCCTGGTCAAAGAAGGTGGATGACTCACTCTTGGCAATATGTGGAGTGGCCCCCTTGGTGTAGCTTCACACTTTCTCTAAACAGTGAATTAACATCCGTTGTTTAATGTAACTTCTTGTAGTCTGATTACATTTGGATCTGCTTAAGATTGAAGAAACATCCAGCAGACTTTTGTTAGATGGTGAGCCTTCCCTTCTGCTCTTTTCAACACTGGTTTTGGAGGTTCCAACACTCTAGATGGCATAAGGAAATGGAAATCAGACTGACAAAAGAGAGTGGGAAATTTTTTCTACCTGATGATTTTTCTTGAGATTTTATGTCAATCCAAATGCCTTCTTTTTTCATATCAGCAACTGCTGATGTATAGTTTACATTTTAATGCCTATGGAGAAGTCATGTGTTTCAAGATATTGTGTAAGCGAGTTTCATGTGACCTTCATTGAGCCAACAAGCAGCAAAAAAATATTAGCATCATCTCCAGCAGCTAGCAGGAAGGTACTATATCCCACATCTGAACCGTCATAGAGGATCTCAAAAATTTTCAGGATGGAAATATTTCCCATTTAAGTGGGCCAAATTGTGTCTTCAGAGGTGCTCATTCTAAGTCAGTAGGGTTGCATGCATGTAATTGAGGGCACAGTGTATGGACCACTTTGTTGTAATTACATGTTGACTGCTTTTCATATTGGTTTGATATCCTTAAAATATAGTATGCATATTTAGGGATTGTCTGCATAGGGAAACTGACTGAAAGAGCTATTTCAGTCAAGCTATTTTGCAGTAGTTCCCTATGTGGCTATTCTGTTCTGGAACAAGTCACTTTATTCTGGAACAACAATTATTCTGCAATAAAACAACTTTTATTCCAGAATAGAGTGCTCACACGGGGAGCTATAGCTCATTCTGCAATAGCTGCTCCAGTCAATTTCCCCATGTAGACAACTAATGTAATGTCTTCCTTTCTCATTCAAAACATATAAAATCAAAGAGATGTCAGCCATTTCTAGTTGCAACATCTCTTATGTACATTGAATTCTGCACTTAAATTCCTTTGACTGCCTTTCTTGTCTGTCTTAATGTGGTTTTTTTTATAGATATTTCTCATGTATTCCTTAGTACTTCATGTGTGTTTTTGCTCCCTCTTTCTTAGTGATATGACAAGAACAGTAGAGATTTCTGGGGAAGGTGGCCCTCTGGGGATCCATGTAGTACCCTTCTTTTCATCTCTGAGTGGAAGGTAAGATGTTTTCCATATTTTAGAGAAGCATGTTAATGAAAAAGGTGTCAGCTATGTTTATTTCTCTTAAAATATCTCTACTGTGAAAACATGAGGGGGAGCTAAAACTGTTTTTTCACAGTGGATAACCAAGCCCAATATACTGTATTCCTTCACTGACATCTATTTTGTTCTGTGTGTATATTCGGAGAACAGAACTCATTTCTGTTGTATGTTCATAATGTTTGTACTTTCAAGGATCTCTGAATTTTTTTTCTGAATGAAAACATGGTAACATGGTCTCTAGTTAAGATTATTGTACTTCTTGAAAGGTGGTTTTTTATCCAGTTGGATTTTTCTCCCTGACCCCTTATTGCTAAATAGCAGAGCAGACATAGAAAAGTCAAAATGACTTGCTTGTCAGTTCTTCGTTCATTTTTTTTTTCTCAAGTCCCCTTTCGAATTAGGTTCTTTAGCATTTACAAAAAGTGTACTATACCATGAACTTTTCTTTGGCATGGTAAGATTATTTTAATTGTAAATGATTAAATATAGCTTATTGAGATCACAAAAGACTACCTTAGTGGAAAGTTCATATTGATGTATTGTAGTTGAGTATATGTCAGCATTTTCATTATAACTCCCTATTTTCCAAGTTATGTAACTCAGATGTAAAAATTTTCTCTAGACTGAAATTTGACATATGAGGTTTCTGCCAAAGAGCTAATTTGTAGTGCTGTCAGTATGAGAGCCCTGTGACAGGGATCGAAAATTGCTAGTGTCATAAATGGCATCACTTTATAGTAAAATGGCTGCTTCTAGTATTAGGCCAATTATAATTACAAATTTTAAAAAAGGTCATAGTCTAATAAGGAAAAGAAATGTTTCTTAATTTATTGATTTCACTACTCTACAGCCAAAATACTTCTGAAATAAATGTAGTCAAACTTTACTAATTCTGGGTCACTGAGAACGAAAACGATGCTTAAAATTGTTGATTGGCTCTAGTTTTAAAGATATGCTATTGGGTCAGTATATACGACCCTTGACTTGGGAATGGCGGAGGATAAGTGAGTTATAAAGGGAAGGGATCTCGATTTAAACCAGAAATGACTAAAAAACATCTTTGACTGGATCTATGAATAAATCTATGACTGGGTTTGGACAGTACTTGCTTTTTAGGCAAAACAGTGAATGATGCAATCTGAAGCTGGTATTGCGTCATATATGATATGAATTGCATCATGTTATTCCTAGAAGTCCTGGATGATGCAATCATAACGAAGCTTACATCACTCTGCTGAACAAATTGCCCTATATCAGCTCTAGAAATCATACAGTGTCATGCTCTCTTA